TATCAGTCAAAAGTAAGGCTATGGATTTTTGTCGCTCAAAAAGTTTTTGGTATACCCAACCGTAATTCACAGCCGGACATGCTGCTGTTAAGATACCGACGAATCTTGCAAAATCTTTAATTTGACATTCAATTAATTTACAAACTGAGTGACTAGCGACAATATGGTCTCCTTTTTAGTCCGCGGAAGTTCCATGATTATGCGTGACGAGTCAAAAACAAAACCGAAATATTTACAACTAGTTGCAGATTCTAACTGACTCTTCCTTTCGTTAATAACAAATCCTAAAGATGCCAAAAGGCTGCAAGTTGTGTCAACGTTCTTTTTACAACCGTCATAAGTGTCTCCGATACACATTCAATCATCTAAATATACGACTGAATGAAATCCTAACTTCCTGAGATGGCAAAGCACCGGTTTCATGATTTTTGTAAAGACCTATGGTGCTGTAGCTAAGCCAAAAGGTAAATAATTAAACTAAAATAAAATTCCGTTCCATTCAAAACAAAGATACTTGTGACTGTCGATGTGAATCGGTACGCAAAAATATGCGTCTTGTAAATGGAGCACGGCCATATAATAGTCTTTCGCCAATAATTTTTGCACCGTGCGATAGTTTTCCATTTTAAAATAATCCGTAGCGATAAATGTATTCAAACGTTTTAAATTAAGAACAAATCGCCACTCGCCATTTAGTTTTGGGACTAAAAAATAGCTAGATAAAAACTGTCCATGACAGGGATTACAAGCTCGAATGGCGCCGAATCTTAGTAATTTACTAATAACCATTGGAAGAAATGGCTTATTCTTGTGTCTACTTAGCGCAGTACGCGGTTCCATAAGTTGGTGTGGCGGAGTGTGGAACACGATCTGGTATCCCTGGATACAGTTCAAGACAAACAGATCGGATGTCAGGCTGGACCAAGCCTACCGGAAATGTTTTAGACGACCTGCAAAAGGCCTTACCTTTCTTATTGAGCTGGAGCTACTTGTGTGCTCGGAGCTCTCAATGAAGGTTGTATCTGAGGGCGCTGATTTCTCGAGAACGGTCGGGATATATTGTGCCGTACGTGAGGTTTGGGGCCCGACTGACGATAGTACGGCTTTGTCGACGGGTCTCTCCAGTTTCCCGATGTGGACGGTTGAAACTGGAATTTTTTGCTTGGAGCTTTGAATTTTAACGAAAGCCCTGCTTTCTCTGCGATCTTGGCAGATTTAAGCTGAGTCCCTAAACCAGTACCAAATAAAATAGTATCTGGTTTAGATTTGTCCAGTAAGATGCTAGCCTCTTTCTTGAAAGCAGGATAAACAAAGGTTCTCCTAGCTTTAGACAGCTGGTGCATTAGTTCACATTGTATGCGACCCGCATCATTTAGCAGCTTGACCAGTTTCTTCCAGTCAGATGGCGTCGTTTGCCCAAGGATAATTTCGGAAATTAGAGAGCCCAGAGCGGACAGAGTCGCTCCACACAAAGATTGATCCAGCGCGAAGAGTTTATCTCTTCTCCTTGCTGTCTCATTCAGTACAGCCTCAATCTCTGGATTAAGGGAAGGAGCCTCTAACAAATATTCCCTTTCCTGGAGAAGCACTGTAACAATTCGTTCTTTGCTTCCTTTTTCAGTCCATCATTAATGATGCGAGCCCAAATTGCAGCCACCTGACTGCGAATTTTCACCTCAGGTTTATCAGAGCGATCTTGACCCAACTGATGAAAAAATCCTCATCCAGAGGTGGATCCTCAGCCATCTCAACTACTGATTCTGATTCTAACACAGTAGGATCCTAGATGGGCAGAGTCAGTCTGAGATCTGACAAGGTATTGTCTCCAACAGCGGACTCATGCAAAAGTAAATGTAACTCTGGAGACAAAATTAGATCTAGGTCAGGCGGTAATGAACAATCTCATTCTTTTCGTCGACCTAGTCCGAATATGTGGTCTGTCTCACCTCATCGTGTGAGCTCACCACTAGAGAAAGGTACGGACGGACGACGTTTTATACAACGTAATCTTTGTCCGCTGTCCGAGTCACTCCGCATTGCCCGAGAGGCATAAAGACTTACCTGAATCTTGTGACAAACTTGAGCTCTGTGCGCTCTCATCCGATTCAATAGAGAAGTCTTCTGGAACATTCTCTTTTTCCTGTACCAAATCTGCGAGATCCAGGGTGGGCGACGACATGGGTAGGCTAACCTCAATCCCATCCGCCGACTCCCATTGCCAAAAATTGAGGATCCGCTGATACTTCTTCATCTTCTTCTCCACCTTCCGCAGTTCAGCGGACTTTCTCTTGTTCATGGTGATAAAGAAAACCTCAGAAATTCGAAGAATAATACTAACGTGATAATAAGCGTGGTGTCTATCTCGTGCACAAAAAGCAATATGAAAATCGGCAATCATAGAGGATTAAGATGATGGATAGCGACAACAGCGTCGTCGGTTTTGGGTCCGTAAGCTAAAGATTTGTGATGACATCTTGTACTACCTAGCGCTACTACATGTTGTTTTACTGTAATCTCGAAGAACGACACCCGATACACAATTTGGCGTTTATCACGCCCATTGCAGCCTGTAGACGCTCCGCGGCGAGCTATGTGCGTCGAGGCTGAGCGATAACGTGGTTCGCGCTGACCCCCGCGATGGAGTCTGGACGCTTTGACGCTGCCGGCACGCGGCGAGGCGACGGTGAACGCGCCGCGTTACACAATGTACCACTGCCTACTCTTATACCGCTGCGCTCCTACGTCTTGCCGTACCGCGTCGGAACACAGCGGTATAAGTATAGCATTGTCTTCCAATCGCCACGCGCGACATCCGCGCGCTATATTATTGGACTGCGCTGTGACTGAAGCGGTCCGCTACCATTTAGCACATGCTTTTTCTTAATCTTTCACAATTAATTACTCGACTATTATTACGAATTTTGCAAAACAGTATAGGATTTTTATATTCACATCAACCCATTCTATGTCCCCACTAAATGCCCGGAGGAGAGTGTGAGACACCCTGTATATATATACAGGGTGTCCCGCGTAAGACATGCCAAAAGAAAAATATAAGTAGAACAGATAAAATTCAACAAAAATTGTAGAGATCATTTTTCAAACAACCACGTAAAATTTCGAGATATTAATAAAAATATTTGGACAAATTAGAGCACGGCGACGCGGCAGGCGGGACATACAGCTTACCGTGGCCGGCGAAAAAAATGGACGATTGCTTGCGAGTCTATCTTATAAGCCAGAGAGGTGGATTATTTGGCATACAGAAATGGGTAGCTCCGTGTGTGCGTACGTGTACGTGTGCGCTCGTCCATTTTCTTCGCCGGCCGCGGCGAGCCGCTTGTCGCGCACTCCAACTATTTTTATTAATATCTCGAAATTTTACGTGGTTATTTGAAAAATGACCTCTACAATTTTTTTTCACTTTTATTTGTTCTACTTATATTTTTCTTTTGGCACGTCTTACGCGGGACACCCTGTATATAGGGTGGTCCTTATTTTTCGACTTTCAAATTTTTTCCGTGGCACCCTCCAAAAGTTTCCATTTGACAAAAAAATCCCTGCCAAATTTTTGCTCGATCGGATAACGAGAATCCGTGCCCCCGTTAAACATTGGAATATCCTATTAAACTATTAAACTGTCTACGTTATCAATATGATTTTTAAAGCGTGTTTTCCACAAAAATCGTCCTAGAAGACTTCGTTTTTCTTTCTACATCGTTTCAAATCTTATAGTCTCATTTAAACAATTAGATAAATTATTGATGACTAAAAAATAAAAATAAATAGTTATTGCATTCACTGTTTGAGTTACAACAAATCATTCATGGACTATAAAAGTTGCAGCAGTATGTTTGGAAAGCAATATAAGTATAAAACATGATATCTTTTATGTTTTTATTAATAAAGAAACTTTTTTAATTAAATATTACATGATAATTAATAATCTCGTGGCTCCTAATTTTATGTTGGGAGGGGACCATAGATGTATAATACCGACACCGCTGGTTATTCCCACCACTCGCGCAGGTGTAATGTAACGTATCCCCAGGACGCTTCCTATATTTCCGCAGATACTTCCTGTATCCTGGGACACACATACACACTCTCTCTCTCTCTCTCTCATTCTTGTTCTCTCGTTCACTCTGTCTCTTCGTATTCCCTTCGGTTACCTGCCCGTAAATTACCGGGCTACACGATATCATCGACTCGCCCCCGGTCACCCCCTTATCTCGCGTCCTCGCTCGCGGGGATAGTTCGCTCGCGAGGGAGCGAGCAACGAGAGACTGTTAGAGTTCGCTACCCTTAACAGGCAGTCATGCGAATCATTACGATATCGACGCGACGGCACCTACCACGATTATTACTCCCGAATAAGCGCGGGACTCGTGCGGGCGCCTGATATCGTGCCCCAGTGAGATTCAGCGACCTCAATTGCGCTGAGTGAAATATCGTTATTGTTGTGACTCTCATCGTGTTGAAAAGAAGCGCGAAAAATCGGCGTCTCAGATACTTTAACGACGCGGGGGATGTAATCATCGTGAGTTAGATTTACTTCCGCGCGCTCACCCTCAACTTTCCTTCACTTCGCGCGAGTACGACTGTTCCGCTTCCGGAATATAACCGAAAATGAGCCGTGGAATTTCGCCTAACCAACAAGCAGCCGCGTGCCGCGCTGGCCGCCGTCTGAACGACTCGGGATTGGGGATCGACACGCTCGGCCCACCGT